TGGAATGTCTCCTTTATAAATGCTGTTTATCTGAATTATTCAGATTAAAGATTTCAGAGGTCTGGGGTGATCTGTTTTTCTTATTGGCAGTTGGTGTTATAGTAATGTTTGTTTGCAAATAAGGTATATGTTCCTTTAAAGACATAGGTTGAAATAGTTACCAGTGCCATATCTGAGTTTAAATAAAAGCTAGGTGTTACAAGTGTGTTTAGGGAATAGGCTAGCTTTTCTAAGATCTAACTGTCTGAAATGTTATTGTAATATAGCATAGAGAAATATTAAGTGTTGAACCTTGGGCTGGCCAAGCACCTCTCTCAGTCATGATAAAGAATGATGACCTCAGTTTATGATTGTGGTACTGGCAACTATGTCTGTTTTGTTTTTTTTTTTAATGCACTACTTTTCAATGGAATTTTATGTTAGGTGTGCTTAGGTCGACAAAGATACATGCTTACAGCATTGCAGAATGAAGTCATGGTTGAACACGTGGTCCCAGCTGCATTTTGTCTGAATTTTTGCTGGTGTGCTCAATTTGAATTTGCAGTTAGAGAAGGACTTAATATGTTTGCAAGTGGTACCACATCACTTAGCTGTTATGTTTAATGGATTGTTGAAACTGTGTTGCCTTGATTCCATCTGATCAGCACCATTACCTGAGTAAGATCAAAATCACAGGAGGTTTCAAATGTGGTGGGATTCCTGGGACAGGATTCAGACTGAGCTGCATGGCTCCAGTCAGCAGCAGGTGTCAGGTTTGGCTTGGGATGGACCTAAGGGAGCCTGTCTACTCTTTTTCTCCAAGCTGGAATGCGATATAGTTACTGTCTGGTCTGCTGTAAATCCCCTTACCTTCCAAAATCCAGGGATTGATAGGTAGCTCGTTCTGGTGCTTGATGATCCTTAATACCTCGGGCATTTTCCCAGTGTTATCCTAAGTCACATGTACACTGACCAGATGAATATCTGCTCCTAATTTTCTATTTGGATGTTTGATTTTTCTTTCCTATCTATAGTATTTCATATATGTCTTTGGTCTGGTTTTCGGAACATTTTTCCAGTTTATAAGTATTATTTTGAATTCTTACCGTGTCCTCTTAAGTGTTTGCAGACTTTTCTGCCTGAAAAACCATTTAGAGGTTTTGCAGTTTACTCTGCTTCATTGTCCAAGTCAGGACTGAATACATAGACCTTACCTGTAACCAGGACAAGTTATGAATTGACTGAGGACTATTAATTAATAATCTGAATAAAATTTATACTGCTGTCATCTGGGCTGTGTTCCTTTGTTACAGCAGTGTTATATAGGGCAATGTCAAAAGGCATATTAGAGTTAAGATATGTTAACTTGTCAAAGAAGGAAACTTCACAGTGTGGATAGATTCATGATGATGTTCTGTATTACTCACCTAATATTTGTTTAATAATATCGTTTTTATCTGTTTGGATACCTGTACTTTCTGAAATTCACCTTTTACTGTCTTAAAACCAGAGATGTGATGTGCCCTCAAGGTCTCTGTCTTGAATGAATTTCTGAAGATAATCATTAGCAGTTACAAAGTTTGCCCAGGCTAGCTCCTTTGAGGCCCTCTAAGGTAAATTTCATCAGGGTCTGCTGACCTGAATATATTAAACTTACCAAATGTCTTGTAGCTAGTTCTTTGTGTTTTCTGGATCAGGCACCTATGACGCATTTGTCGTCTTGTTTCTGAGAATTCTCAGTGTTTATTTAAAAGGCCAGGAGGTCCCTTGCATACAGGTTCACTGGAGGAAAGCCTTACAAGTAAAGTACCAAGTGAGCAGTGTCTGACTTCAGTGGTGGACAACCTGGAACAGCATCCTTGGAGGGATATATGATCTATTCCATTAACTTTAATGTTGAAATAAAAGGAAGTCTTTAGCTGTCACAATTGAAAGAAAAGCTTTAAACTTTCATTATGGTTAATGCAAGAATTTGTAAGGTTGTAAAGAAACTGGAAATAAACGTATACTGCCCTATTCATGTTGACCAAGGAGATTGCTGAGGAATGGTGTGCAAAAGCCAAGAGCTGAGGGAGAAGGGACCAGAGAAAGCCCTCTTGAGCATGGATCCACCAGTTCATTTTACAGAGCCTTTCCACAGAGTGCATAGAAGAAAAATTTAGGTGGAAAATGACTCTTGGCAAAATGGAAATTTTATTAGAAATGTCTGCTTTCCATCTGTGGGTTTTGTTGTTCTTTCGAGAGGAAGAAGGGATTTTTTTGCAGTTTGTCAGTGGAAGCACTTTCTTTCAAATTTAGATTTATTTTTTTTTTACCTTTTTTTTGGCTAAAATGATTTTGCAATTTGTTTTGCCTCGCACTTTGCTTGAAAAAGTGGAGCAATAGTTTGACTGGATGACTTCTGTATACTCACAAGTTCAGATTCTACCTTTTCATACTTAGTCTTCTGCAGTGCTTGCTGGAGTCCAGCTGCACCCTCTCTGAGGTGGGTGTTCACAGGCCGTGCCATGGCCATCAGTGCACTCAGCCCTGGGCTGTGCACCCTGGCACCCAAAAGCTCTGCTTTCTGCCACACTGAGTCGCACAGCACTGCTTCCTCAGGTGCGGGAAATTAAGGAAACTCATGAGAAGTGGAGTGTAAAAGGCCTCAGCCTGTGGTTAGGACTCAGACTGACCAAGGCTTTGCAGCCTATTCAGTGAAGACATTGCAAGCAGATATTGGCTTTTGTGGTTTCTACAGTTCTCTGTAGTTCCTGAGTTACCTAGTAGAATTTTTTCCATAATTAGCAAGATGTCAGTTGAAAGTGGTGATTTGGCCTCTGGCCAGGAGGGTCTCAGTATTTGTAGCTTCATGTTTTAAAATGAATCAAGCATATAAACAGGCAATGCATTTCTTAAGTTACTGTACACACTGATTATCAGGTGTATCTGCCCTCATTCCTGTCCAGTTTCAAAAGAAATAGTTTAGTGATTATGTGCTTTTTAAAAACAGAAAATGGGATGGCCTTTTCTCTGTTGTTTTACAGACCTGATTGGCACTCTGAAACTTGTTCCTCTGTGATGGTACAGTAGATGATGGCTAAAGGAGTTTAATTAATGTTTGCACACTAATGAGACATTGTTCTCAGGAGCCTTTTACAAGATGGTTTTTTAGAAGAGCTTTTTATCTGCTGTCTGCTCATGCCTCCCCTAATATCTACTTGTTGGTAGCTGAAATACAGTGATATTGGAAATAGGAAAGGGGAACAGTTACATTTCCAAGTTATGTAAGTGTCTTCCAGATTTTATGGCAGCCCACCAGTCTTCACTCCTGTTGCTAATTTAGCATGAAACATGAGATATCTTGTTCTGCTCTCATTTTTTTTTTCTTGTGAACACTTGTTGTTTTGGGTTGTTTTTAATCTTATTTTTGCAAGTTTGGACCCACAGTCTTCGCCATGATATTAACAACAGCCAGACTTTTGGGTGTAAAGGATTAAAGGCTGATCTGCCAAGTTGGAACTATTTTTTTGTTTTCTCAAAAATAATTACATTATTTCTTATACCTTTTTTTTTATTTTTTCTAGCTGAAACATGAAGTTGTAATTGTAAAGAAATGAGATAAAACAATAGGTGTGTTCTAGGGTTTTGCATTATTTTACTGATTATCCTCAATTCTCATTTCTTTTCCCTGAAACTCTCTACTCAGTTTTAAGGTTGAGAGGGTTAAATTTAGGGAGGGGACACTCCCACCTGGTAGAGTCTTTTGAATGTATAATTTCTAAAGTAATAGGAGCAAGAGAAACAACAAAAAAAATCTACCTTGGAACTTCATTTCATGCTAATCCTTTTTTAAGAAATATTTGGTTCTTAATTGTAAATTAGAAAAGTACATATTGGAAGAAGTTCAGAATAAGGTTTGTAGATTATCACATATGTTAATTCTTCACTCTGTGCTATACTGTGGCTTTTTGCTGGGATCCAGTTCTGGACACAGATAGTTGCAGTGTCATTAATTAAGAAAGAGGCTTTCAGATGAAGATAGGGGTGGCAAAAGGATATTTTCTTGTATTGTAAACTGTTAAGGATAGGAGCTTTCTTTTGCTTCACACAAGGAAATGGTGTTCTGTTTCTTGTGCAGTTCCTTGACTGTTTTTTCAATGCAAAGAAATAATGGCAATGTTAAGAATAATCTGTTTTATCTGTGCCTCTGAGTCTGAAGTCATCCTGTGCCACTGGAAGGCAATAGAAAAGCTTAGCTGTGTGTAACTTCAGCATCATTTGGCAGAAGAACTGTGGTATTGTGTTTGTACTGTGCAGATTTTCATGAGGATACGTTCTTGGCCGATAGCTGAGTTGCTGGCTTGGAGAAATAGTTGACTGCTTTTCATCCTTAACTCCAGTCTTTGATTTGCCTAGTTTTACCAGTTCTTCTAGATCAGTCAACAACAACAACAAAATCGTCTTTCCATAATTTAATGTGTTTGGCAAATGCTTCTTTTACGGGCCTATTTATTCTAAAACTGTAGTAAATGTGCTTCCCAATATGGTATTGTTGAAATGCAGCAACTGTGGCACTGATCAGGGCGTGGGAGAACACTATCCATCAGTGTGGAGAGGGCATTTTGACCTAAAGGACCTGGGCACTGCCCTTGAGAAGAGGGCCAGGAACTGTAAAACAGAGACAGAGACCAAGGGCTTTCTCATCCTCAAGTCTCAAGTACAGTAAAATGTATTCTGTACAATCTTTACATACATTGCTCTTGTGTTATTTCTTCTGGCTTTGTCTCTCCAACTTTCACAGAAGTACCAGGCCTTTCTTCTGGAGAGTGGTCAAATAACTGGATCATCAGAATACTCCTGTGTTCAGTTTGCTGTGCTTGCTTTGGAAACTACTGGACAGCAGTGCCTCATACCATGTTTGTACTGTGGCTCTTGCAGCAGATTCTGTTGTCTAACATTAGTGCTGATAAGCAGGTTGATGTAACCTTGCAAAGAACTCAAGTAACCCCTAATGAAGCTTTCTCTCTTTCCCTCTGCAGGTGGTTAGTCGAGTGGCAGCTCAGCAAGGATTTGACTTGGACCTTGGATACAGGCTACTGGCAGTATGTGCAGCCAACAGGGACAAATTCACTCCAAAATCAGCTGGTAGGAAAAGCCTTTTTTTGGTGTATTATTGAGTCTTGGATGGTCATATTCTGAATAAGTGCTACCTGCAACTCTCTTGCATTCTTCAAAAAAAAGCAAAACCAAAAGCAAACACGTATTTGGTGGTAATAGTGCTGTTGCTTTTAGCATTTTGATGACATGCTCTTCTGAGGAGACATGACTTTGGAAATTTATGTTTTCCCCAACTGGTGCTGTTCACTGCCCTGTTTGATCTTATGGATGAAATGTTGCTTCCAGAAGCACTGATGTTCAGTAATTTTGTGGTGGGAATGAACACACTCAGACCCCTCCATCTTGGTAAACCATTGATTTTCTGTCATGTGTCAACTTCTAAATCTTTCACATTCATTCTGCACTTCTGATATATCTATTGCAAGTAGTTCCTTGACTTTATATGTCTGTGCAAATAAATAGCATGGTTTCTCGTACATCTAGTCATTAGCTGTAGGATTTTGAGCCAAGAGAAGTTAGCAATGCTATTGGTGTAGTATTAAGTAGCCATTTTTCCAGTATTTTACAGCAATAATCTGTTACAGGGCTCTGATCAAGTAGCAGTATTTGATGATGATGTATTGCCATTGCTCCTCTATATAGTAAAAGCAGAAAACAGACTTGAGGGTCTTTCTGCTGCTCACATGTTCAATTTAACTGGAGCATTTAATTCTGGTTCTCCTTTTCTTAGCTGATGAATGTCAACATAATGTGCACTGGCTTGGAAAACAGGAAGATAATTGTTCCATTCCAGACTGAGCATGGATAACTTTTCTGCTTAGTACTAAACTGGTATGCAGTCCCCATTTTAGAACATCAGGAAAGGTTACCTTCTTCCAAAACAGTGATTTGTAGCCAACTGGTTGGGTGTTAACATTTCTTTTCATGTTCCTTTTATCTTTACTCATGGCTGTCTTTTGTTCTAAGTGTTCTAAGCAGTTCCTCGCGCAAAAGTGGCTTTCACATCAAAGCATGTTCACTGGACTTACTGGTTTATTTTCTTGTATGGGAAGGGATCATTAATCTTACTAAATGTTGAATAAACTGTCTGATTTTCATCCGGAAAAACTGTGTGGAGGATGAAACATTCTGTTTACCAGGCACAGTCTCTCTTTCTTCTGAATTTCTATTAAGTTTATCCATTAGCTAGCTATCACATCTGTTGTTATTTGTTTGTTTGTTTGTTTTCAAAAAAAGCTTGTCAAGTGAGACTCTCCATCTATGAGTGCACTGTGTGATATATTAAAACTTTTCAAAATTTTTTTTTAAAATATAGCTATTCCTCCCATCTTACTAATTCTTCCTGACATGGCTTTTTATCAGTGTGTTGCTGAAGGTGAGGTTGTGAGTCTCTGTATCTTTTCATGTTGTAGTCCTTTTCCTTTAGGGCTTGCATGAGGGGGTAATCTTGAAAAGTGCTGGTCAGTCATGTCCTACAAAAGGCCAGTGTCAGTGTTTGATTTCTGCCAATAATTACTTTTTTTGGGAATATATGCTTTTTTTTTTTCAACTCATTACCCTAGCAGTCTGTACAGGGTGCAGTCTTTCCGTTGTTAATTGATACGATACTGGGAAAGCTGGTAAATCATGTGCTCTTCTCTCAGTATATTCTAAAACCCTTCTCAGTCCTGTGCTTTTCTTCCTGTTTCCTACTTGCATGCACAATAATTTATTTTCAATTATCTTAAATATTTGGTTTCATAAGTACTTAAGTTTTACTGTGTATACAGTTGTTTCACCAGTTATTGCAGGGATTTTATCATGCCCATCTACACCATGGTTTTCGTGCTCTTGTTGTCTGTGTTAAATACTCATATTTTGGGGCATACCATAACATATTTTGTGAAATGTCACATATATCTCCTACTCTAAGGATGTCACATTCACATGCAATCTATGAGAGCTACATCATTGAATAGGCAGCTTGAGAGACGGACAGACAAGGGTTACAAATGTGAGGTCGTTTCAGAACACATGGACTTTTTTAAAGAGTTAATTTCCACATCTGAGTGCATTAACATTTTCTGATTTCTAATGTAGCAGTGGCTCTGCTCTCTCATTAAATTTTTGTACAAATGTTGAGATTGTCCTTTGTTTTTTTTTGCAAACAGTGTGGATCACTGAAAGCTGCCTTTTGTGATTTGCTGAAGTTGTTGTCAAGGATGCTTGCACGTTGTTTTGAGTAACTCATTCTGTTTGCTGTTACATCTGTTGAAAGACACCTTCAACAGTTCTTCCAGTCACTTTCCTACAGAAGTCCCCTGATGTAGATATCAAATGGCATTAATTTTAATGAATAAGCATTTGTTTTTCCCTTCCTCTAGGCTTAAGGGGAATTTACAACGGTTTGAATTCATTCCACCAAGTATGAATTTAATGCTGCCACCGGGATCACTCTGGAAACATTTTTAATCCATGTTGTTTAGTGTCTGACATTCTGAAATGTGAGGAGAGAAAAACGTTTTCTAATTAAAACACATTTGAGTAGGTGAACACTGGGGAAAATAATTGCCCCAAATCCTTTCAAGGGCCATCCACTATTACTACCTCTTTATAGCCTAGGACAAGGCTTGTTGACTGATGTCCTGCAGTCTGGGAGCCTGGAGTGGCCTGGCAGTGGTGGCTGGCAGGTTTTGCAGCTCTGCTGTGTGGAGCAGGTGGTCCACCCCAGCCTGATGTCCATCGGGTCTCCTGGTTTGCAGAAACAGCTGAACCAGTGCAGTCAGTAGTCGTGCTCCTGTTCTCCAGCAATTCCCACCCTAAGCTTGCTCAGGGACCTGTACTGGCAGAAGAGGTTTTGCTGGTATGGCTTCTGTTCTGTTTGACTGGCTCCCTGAGCTGTTCCTCTGCAGGGCCACAGGAGAGTGAGGGTACCCGTGGCAGTGCCTGAGGATCTCTTATCCCTGATGGAAGACGGCTGGAGCCTGAGGCTAGAGGGCAGAACAGCCAGCTGCCAAATTGGCTCAGCTCTATGGGAAATCCACACCCCTGGTTCATGCAAACGGCCCCACGATGTTTCATCTCTGCTGGTTTAAGCCGTTTTGGTGGTAGCTCCCTCTCCCTGCTACGCTGAAGAGGTTGGGGAGTGGTTACAGGAGGTGCAGATGGCAGATCAGAGTACAGGCAAACATGGGGGAAGCAGAGAGAGATGAGAGGCTGGAGCCAGGTGGGGCAGCAACCTTTTCAGGTGGCACAGCCTCAGCTGGGGGAACTCAGGGGAACAGACCAAGAGCTGTCAGTTCCTCAGCTTCTCCCATCCGGGACTGGGACCGTTTGGTGTTGCCAAGGCAGTGTTTGATGTTGTGCTTTTTAGTCTTGTTTTACTTGGCCATTGAGATGGTTAATAATTAGCTAATACAAATTGTTTTGGAGAATGCCTGGAGGGGAGGCTCATGCAGCATGAAAAGTATTAAAAACTTGTCGTGTGTGTTTTTAAATAGAAATGATGATTTAATGACTGTGCCTTTTGTCTCTGCTTTCTGGTGTTTGTACCTGAAATAATAGCTGCTGCCTTTTATTCTCCTGGCCCATGCTGCTGCAACTGGGCTGCTGCCTCAGCAGGAGGTCAAATACAGCATTTCCCACCCTGAAGACAAATGACAAAGCCTTTAAAATATATGTGTCTCTTTCGGTGACAGCTGCTCCCCAGACCTTCCACTGCAAATTCCTTTGCCTTGTTGTGACACCTATAGGGGATGGCCCAGCAGGTTGGCTGCCTGCCTGCTCATTTGCTTTCATACCGCAGTAACCCGAGTTGCTCTTAGTATGTGAGTGCATGGTTCTTTGTGTATTCCATTTTTTCTTCCTTAAACCCGAAGACTTTCTTTCTGAATAGTGCTTGCTTGGACCTTTTCTGAGCATATATCCTGCTTTTGTCCTTCCTGTAGAAGATTTTAAGTCATTTGGTAGCTTTATTTTAAGGTCTCCTATTCACAAAAATAGAGTTCACCGATTAAAGTGTTTATTAAAAAAAAAAAAAAGGGAGGGGCAGCAAAGGAAGAGAGAAAGGGAACAATTTTCTGCTCTGAAAAACTTTTTTGAAAAAATACTTTATCGAGCTACTGAAGTTCATTGCTCAAGTTCATAACTAGTTTTCTACTTTTGCTTTTGTCAGGAGGCCAAGCTGAGGCCAGACAAGGGGACGACAGGATGAGATCATACAGGGAGCTTTGTCAGAAAAGGACAGTGTTCAGTATCTCTGTAAAGAGAGACAGGGAGGCAGGAGCCTGAGGGCAGAACTGTGCAGAAAAGGTACTTCAGCAATCACTGAGAATCTACAGCAAACAAACGCTGTAATAGCTTGGATGGGCAGCTAAGTGTTGGCTGTTCGATAGCAGAAACAGCAACCCTTTTTGATATTGCTTTGTTTTCAGCCCCTTAGTCTCTGCTTGGTGTGCTTCTGATTTTACTTTTCAAGAGCAGTATTACTGAATAACCTTGAAGCATAAAAATATACTTAATATGAAGCATAAACTAAAGCTTCATGGTGTTTGAGGATTTTACATTGTTTTGTTTATTTCTTTAGCTTTAATCATTGTACTCTAATTCTAATATAATAGGGCTCTTCTTAGAGAGTATGATACCAAAGCTGTGAATAAATTGGACCCCGGGCTAACAAAGGTATATGTAGTGAGAGTACTTGCAAATAGTAGTGTTAGAACCTTACTGGACAAGATACTGAGACCTAAGGTATGTCCTGATCAGGATAAATTTTCAAAGCAATAGTACAGATTGGACAAAGAGTATTTGGGTGTATTATCAAATCAAACTTCAAGAAACTGTATAAAACGAGAAAAGAAATTACTCTGCAATGTAAATGAAGAACAGGCAGAAAGTAAGGATAACCTCTAGATTAAAGGGGACCACAAGGCTAGATTAACACTTTGCCTAAATTTCCATTAATAATGCTCATATTATCTGTGGAGACAAGGCAAAAGGAGTCAGCTAAAAGGATTACCAGTATTCAATGGAAATTACTCCAACCAGGG